AACGGGGATTTGCTGTTACCCAGGCTGGTGACGAACTCCTGAGCTCAAGTGATCCACCTGCCTCAGCCTCCCAAAGTGCTGAAATTACATGTGTCAGCCACATCTTGCATAAATAAAACAGTTTTAAACTAAAGAGAAAAAACACAGGATGGCACATTTTAATACAGCGTGGAAGGGCCCGCAAAATCATTGGGAAATCTGCCTCGCTTGGCTTGCCAGTTCTGTTCCCATATTGTTTCCACCAAACTGCTTCAAACCTTCCCCCACCATCTTCCAAACAAGGCTTGCCTTTCCATCCAAACTCACTCTTCTACACACTACTTTTCCTTCTCTATTCAATGTAACAGCTAATCCAATTAATGACACAGCAGGAACTAAATCCTGTATGTCTGCTGAAGTGGTGCTTCTCACATTCTATGTGAATAGGAACCACCTGCAGACCTTGTCAAAATTCAAATTCTGATTCTATAGATTGGGTGAATCTGTAATTTTGCAGTTCTGTTATGCTCCTGAAAGACTCTAGAATTCTGCTTGTCCACAGTTTACACTGGGAATACAAAGAGGATGCTATAGTTTGGTTAGTTTGACCCCTCAAATCTCATGTTGAAATTTGATCCCCAGTGTTGGAGGTGGTCAAAGGGGAGGTGTTTGGGTCCTGAAGGTGAATCCATCATGAATGGCTTGATGCTGTTCTCATGGTAATTAGTGAGTTCTCACTGTAGCTTCATTAGTTCCTCAGTCCTTTTGAGATCTGGCTGTTAAAAAGAGCTTGACGTTTCTCCCAAGAGAAATGGGGAATGCTTCCCCTCTTACTCTCTTGCCGCGAGATCTCTACACACACCAACTCCCCTTCACCATTCACTGTCAGTGGAAACAGACTAAAAGCCGGAACAGAAGCAGATGCTGGGACCGTGCCTCTTGTACAACCTACAGAACCGTGAGACAAATAAACCTCTTTTCCTACAAGTTACTCATCTCAAGTATTCCTTTATAACAACACAAATGGACTAAGGTAGAGGCTAAAGAATAGCTTTTTTCAAATTAGAGTGATATCTTTCCCATCTGGTCCAAAGTCGCAGCGCTTCAGAAAAATGAAGATTGCGCAGCTTAATTCTAAACCCACTGAATCTAAATCTTTTCAGGGTGAGTCCAGGAACGTGTCATTTTAATAGTCTCTACAGGTGATTCCTGTGTACCCCAACAGCTAAATTACAGGTTCATCTTCAACCCCATTCCCAGGTCTTTCATCTCATAGCTATGGGTTTTGAGAGTTATCTTCTATAGATAATATTCTAATCCAAAGGAGCAAACCGAATAGTGGAGTCAGTAAAATAAAATGACAAGTTGGGTAAGAAATCGTTTTGGAAGAGTGTGGCATTCAGTCAATGATGTCATGTGTCTTTTTTCCAAACAAAAAAAGCAGCCCCTTTATTTTCTTTGATGTAGGGGACTTTAAAGATTACATAAGCATTTCTGGTAAAGATAGTTCTCTGTGCTACTAGCAATGGTGAGAGTGTTTTCCAGAGCATGTGAGTCTGAGTTATCTCACTGTTTCTAACTTGCTAATCTTCTCTTTCTGACATTGCTTGCATTACGGTTACTTGGCACCACATGGTGGATGCTAAGTCATTTCTGGTAATTACATGCTTCAGTAGAAACTTAGATCCACCATGCTCAGGAGAGCGTAAACGCTGTCATGAAAATTTAAAAATAGAATCTCAAGCATGTGGCCTCTCAAAAGATCTCCATGTAGCTTTCAACATCAGTGTTTCAAAAGAAGTGAACACACCCAAACTGAGCAGGTTTCTTCTCAAAATGTGAACATTAAATTTATCCAGGTGATTTTGTGCAAAATGACCAAAAAAGCCATAAATGGAATGACTTCCTGAAAGACTAGCTGTTGAAAATGCTCCCAAACATATATAGACTTTATACAGAATTTACTCAGCCCTTACACCGCCACCCTTCCTCCCACAGGGAAGTCACTGCTAATACCAATTTTGTTCACTTCCACAGCTTAGAAGTTTGCTGTTTTATAGATAGGTATGTTGAATATATTCAGATATTTCTGAGGAAGTGATATTCTGAGTAGTATTTTTTGACATTACTTTGTGTTCTGCAGATGAACTCAATTTTAAGCATGGTGTGTTTTGTTGCTCAAAGCAGAATCCAACAGTAAGTCAAGATTTTATAAATTCTATACAGAGGTACACAATTTAAAACTTTGACATTTGTAGAAATGTGTAAGGATTCATGTCAAATTTGGTTTATTCTAAATCACTCTGCCTAACCCTAGGGAAAAATCAAATAGAGAAAGAAATCTTTGATATCAGGGAATAGAAATAGTCATACTGTGTCAATATAAATACGTATATAGCAAAAATGAAAGAACGTAAGGAAGAAAAGGGTTAAAAAAGAAAAAGAATCGAAAATAGAACTCTGGTACATTAAAAACTAGAACAACAAATTTTCTTAATATATTTGATCGTATAAATACCTCTTTAACTGCTACTTATTTCAACTATATGCTTCCTTTTATGAATGAAATGCTTTATTACCTGTCAAAAAAAATTCAATTTAGTTTTCAAATACATAAGAAAAACTAGGAAATAGCATTGTAAGATGCAAAATTAGGCAATGCGGAGAACGAAATTATAAATAAGAAAGTTTGCTCTTGAGATGATACAGTGTCAGGAGAGGACAAGGTTGTTAATAAGATAACCCTACAAATACGCATATTAATAATCAGGATATAAGTGATACAGGAGAGTTCAGAGGAGTGGCTTCACATAGGTAAGGGAGATCAAGGATTGCTTCCTGAAGTATGCTTTTTGGATGGGAACCTGAGGCTTGATGAATGAGACTCTGATGCTTGATTAATAGGATCCTGATATTTGCATAAGATTTTGAAAGAATGAATTTGAAAATCAAGACCAAGCAGAAACCACAATAAAAAGGCAAAGGCTGGAAAAGAGAGGATGTGTTTGGCTGTATTGTGGATTTGAGTTCCTTTTGGGTTCCTGGAAAGAGGAAGTTGACATGTTGCTAATGACACGGTAAGAAGCCATATTGCAGAAGCACTTAAGTAAGCAGAAGACCCTCTTACATACATCAACAGTGGAAAATATGTTAATGCTTTGAAGTAAAAATGCACAATTAATCTTTAAATGTGGGGCATTTAATTGAAGAGAAGACTTGTTAAGATATTGGTATGAAAGGCTGTCTTGGAGAAAAAGACAAAGACAAAGCAAAGAAAGAATTAGATGTATAGATGTTGAGGAGAAAGAAACTATAGAACTTCACAATGGGTTATACGGAAAGTTTAGTAGAGAGATAAGTATGAGATGCAGTAGAGGAACCTCAAAACTAACTCTAGGGATTACAGTTTAATTAAAAATATAATGTTTTTCCAAAAATGACACAAAATTGAAAAGTAATAGATATACGTAAATATTTTTCATTTCAATTCAAATATAAAACACTTTGCCTCAGATGATCACTTGCTCTGCTTTGCTCATCTAAATAATGGTTTTAATTATCTACTTTCTTTAGCTAACATATATGTAGTCTTTTTAAGTTAATATAGATGCATTGAATTATACTGTAAAGCACATACATAAACTGGCCATAAAGATTGCTCCTGCACTGTCAGGTCATGCCTGACTGATGGAGCGCCCCAGTGAGGTAGCGTCTCCTGGTGTGCACCAGATCACCCGCTGCCTCCCAGCACACATCGCTTTGCTGCTGATTGAACAGGTGGGGTTTGCTTACCTAGCCCAACAGTGCACACAAGTGAAGTCCAGCCATACCTCCACTGCTGTCACCACCACTGCAGGCTGAGTCTTGATGGGCACAGAGCCAGCAAATTCTGACTTTCCTAGTGACCTGCCCTGGCACTAACACTGCATAGAGAATAGCAGATCCTCTCCCTCTTTAAGCAATCACTCCTGCTTGCAGAGAACAGAAAAAGCATCCAGACCTGAGCCAGCCACCACCTCTAGCATGACCATGCACAGTCTCCAGAAGGTGCTCCCTCATCATGCCTCCACAGCTTCCTCACCTCTGCCTTCCTGTGGGCAGAATACCCATGCTTCTCATGACCGCATGGCACATACTCTAAAATTGATCACATAATAGAAAATTATTAGAATTTTCTAATAGATCACATAATAGAAAAATCACTCCTCAGGAAATCCAAAATAACTAAAATCATAACAAACAATCTCTTGGAGCACAGCACAATCAAACTAGGAATCAAGACTAAGAAAGTCACTAAAAACCATACAATTACATGAAAATTGAATAACCTGCTTCTGAATGACTTTGGGGTAAATAATGAAATTCAGGCAGAAATCAAGAAGCCATTTAAAACTAATAAGAACAATGATACAACATATGATCATCTCTGGGACACATCTAAGGCAGTATTAAGAACAAAATTTGGCCGAGATGGGCGGATTATCTGACGTCAGGAGTTCAAGACCAGCCTGGCCAACCTGGTGAAAACCCGTCTCTACTAAAAATACAAAGATTAGCTGGGCATGGTGGCGCATGCCTGTAATTTAAACTACTCAGGAGGCTGAGGCAGGAGAATTGCTTGCACCCAGGAGGCGGAGGTTGCAGTAAGCCGAGATCGCGCCACTGCACTCCAGCCTGGCACCTGGCAACAGAGCAAGACTATGTCTAAAAATAAACAAACAAACAAACAAACAAAAAAACAGCGTCCCTGAGGTGGAGAACGAGGCCGGACGGAGGGACTGGCGGGCAGGCCGAGCGGCGCTGCCGAGGCCGGGTTGGGCCGAGCCCAGGAGCGCCCGGGATGCAGCGGGCCACCCTGCCCAAGCCACAGCGCCCGGCCGCGGGCGGAGCCGGAGCCTAGGGAGGCGGCAGGGCCCCGAGCGCAGCCCGCGCCCCCCGCCCGGAGCCCGGCCCGCCGGTCCCCGCCGCCCGGGACCCCGGCACGCAGCCCCGGCTGCGGAGGTGACACTCACGGGCCCGAGACGCCGCCGCCGCCGCCACCATGGACGAACGGGGGCATTGAACTCAGTCATGAACGACCTGGTGGCCCTCCCGATGAACCGACGTCACCGATGCCTGGATAGGAGACGGCGAAGAACAAGGACACGGGTCGCTCACATAGGCAGAAAAACCACAACAGCAGCAGCTCCGCCCGTCTGAACAGCCGCGCAGTGACAAGCTCGTGTGCAGGGGCCAGTGAGAAAGAAAGTTTTCAGAGGCGTCAGAATCAAGTTTGAGCACAACGGGGACAGACGAATTACGGCGTTCCGCCGGCCTGTGAAGTACGAAGACGTGGAGCGCAAGGTGACAACAGTATGTGGACAACCTCTTGATCTACACGACATGAACAACGAGCTCTCCACCCTGCTGAAAACCAAGATGATCTTGACAAAGCAATTGACATTTTGGACAGAAGCTCAAGCATGAAAAGCCTTAGGATATTGCTGCTGTCCCAGGACAGAAACCGTAACGGTTCCTCCCCCCACTCTGAGGTGCCCAGGCAGGTGCGGATCAAGGCTTCCCAGCCCGCAGGGGATATAAACCCTATCTACCAGCCCCCTGAGCCCAGAAGCAGGCACCCCTCCGTCAGCTCGCAGAACCTCGGCCGAAGCTCACCACCCCGGCTATGTTCCCGAGCGGCAGCAGCGCATTTCCCGGCAGGGGTCCTACACCCGCATCAACAGTGACGGGGAGTTCATCCCACAGACCAGCGAGCAGTGCGTGCTGGATCCCCTGAGCAGTGCAGAAAATTCCTGGTCTGGAATCTGCCAACCCTTGGACAGGTCAGCAGACAGCCCATCCTTCCGGAAATCACGAATGTCCCGTGCCCAGAGCTTCCCTGACAACAGACAGGAATACTCAGATCAGGAAACTCGGCTCTATGACAAAGGGGTCAAAGCTGGAACCTACCCCCGGCGCTACCGTGTATCTGTGCACCACAGGGACTACAGCGATGGCAGAAGAACATTTCCCCGAATACGGCGTCATCAAGACAACTTGTTCACCCTGGTGCCCTCCAGCCGCTCCCTGAGCACAAATGGCGAGAACATGGGTCTAGCTGAGCAATACCTGGACCCCCGTGGCGCCTGCGGAGTGCAGACAGCCAGAATGCCCTCTCTGTGCAGGAGAGGAATGTGCCAACCATTCTTCCAGTGCCCCCATCAGTTGGCGCCGGGGAAAGCTCCTCGGCCAGGGTGCCTTCGGCAGGGTCTATTTGTGCTATGACGTGGACACGGGACGTGAACTTGCTTCCAAGCAGGTCCAGTTTGACCCAGACAGGCCTGAGACAAGCAAGGAGGTGAGTGCTCTGGAGTGGGAGATCCAGTTGCTAAAGAACTTGCAGCATGACCACATCGTGCAGTACTATGGCTGTCTGCAGGACCGTGCTGAGAAGACCCTGACCATCTTCATGGGGTACATGCCAGGAGGCTCCGTGAAAGACCAGTTGAAGGCCTATGGTGCTCTGACAGAAAGCGTGACCCAAAAGTACACGTGGCAGATCCTGGAGGGCATGTCCTATCTGCACAGTAACATGATCGTTCACCGGGACATGAAGGGAGCCAGCATCCATCGAGACTCTGCTGGGAATGTGAAGCTGGGGGACTCTGGGGCCAGCAAACGCCGGCAGACGGTCTGCATGTCGGGACGGGCATGCCCTCCGTCACTGGCACACCTTACTGGATGAGTCCTGAGGTGATCAGTGGTGAGGGCTGTGGAAGGAAAGCAGAGGTGTGGAGCCTGGGCTGCACTGTGGTGGAGATGCTGACAGAGAAACCACCGTGGGCAGAGTATGAAGCTATGGCTGCCATCTTCAAGATTGCCAACCAGCCCACCAATCCTCAGCTGCCCTCCCACATCTCTGAACATGGCCGGGACTTCCTGAGGTGCATTTTTGTGGAGGCTCGCCAGAGACCTTCGGCTGAGGAGGGCTAATACAGCGCTCCTGCTAGGCCAGAGCCCACTCAGTCTGGTAGAAGGGAAAGCCCATGTGCTGCCACCGGCTGTGTCCAAAATCGCCAGCTCTGTTTTTCTTTAGCCAGCCTTGCCTATCCCCATGAGTTCTCAGTCTTTTTCCCTTCTAGCTCCTCCCCTGGGGGAGGAATGACAGCAAGGGTTGGGGAAACAGCATCTCCAAGCAGCTTAGAGTTGGCTATATTTACCTCAGCCTGGGCGCTGGTCCTTTCTTCCTGCCCCTCCCGCCCAAAATGTGCCTATTGCTAGAGCTCTTCCCTCTCAATACCCAGTTTCCTTGGGAGTTGTTGTGATTAAAGGAAAAAAAAAAAAATAAGCCAGTGCCCAGGGATGGGCGTCTCCAGGGAGCTGGGGATTAGTGCCAGGCAGCCCTACCAGCCATGCCTACATCCCCACAGGCACAGAGCAAGCCAAAGCCTTCGTTGTATGTTGACGATGCACTTTTATGAACGTAGTTTCTATCGCTGTTTTTAGCCTTTTCACATGATGTAATGTGAGGCCTTGTACTTGTTAATTAGCATCTCAGATCATGTTTGATGGTTTATACATATATATCACTTCTAGACTGTTACAGGTGATGGACGCCTTGAGAGAGAGAAGAGAAAATGAAAGCAGCTGGTTTTGCAGGAAAATAAAAAAAAGAACAAAATTTATAGCACTAAATGTCCACATCAAAAAGTTAGAACGATCTCAAGTTGACAACCTAACCACACAACTAAAGTATCTGGAGAAATAAGAGCAAACAAAACTAAAGACAAAAACTGCCTGATTCCTCAATAGATGCAGATAAAAGTTTTCAATAAGAAACAAATCCCCACCTAGCAGAAGAAAGAAATAGCCAAAATCAGAGCTAAACTGAAGGACATCAAGACACAGAAAAACTATTCAAGAGATCAATATATTCAGGAACTGTTTTTGTTGAAAAAATTAATGAAATAGACTACTGGCTAGACTAATAAAAAGCAAGAAGGAGAAGACACAAATAAACACAATCAGAAATGACAAGGGGAATATTACCACTGACTGCACGTGACTACAAACAACCATCAAAGAATGTTAGGAACACGTCTATGCTCATAAGCTAGAAAATCTAGGAAAAGTGGACAATATGCACCCTCCCAAGACTAAACCAGGAAGAAACTGAATTCCTGAACAGACCAGTAACAAGCTCTAACATTGAATCTGTAATGAATAGCATACCAACCAAAAAACCCCAGGACCAGATGGATTCACAGCTGAACTCTATCAGATGTGCAAATAAGAATTGGTACCATTCCTGCTTAAACTACTTCAAAAAATTGAGGGGGAGGTATTCTAACTCATTCTGTGAGTCCAGAATCATCCTAATACCAAAACCTGGCAGAGATACAAGAAAACTTTAAGCCAATGTCCTTGATGAACTTTAATGCAAAAATCCCAAACAAAATACCAGCAAACTGAATTCAGGTGCACATCAAAAAGCTTATCTAAAATCAAGTAGACTTTATTTCTGGAATGCAAGGTCCAACATATTTCTGGTCCAACATATGCAAATCAATCAATGTGATTCAGCACATAAACAGAGCTAAACCAAAAACCACCTGATTACTCAACAGATTACTCAATAGACGCAGATAAAAGCTTTCAATAATATTTAACATCCTTTCATGTTAAAAACTCTCAATAAACTAGGTATTGAAGAGACATATCTCAAAATAATGAGAGCCATCTGTGATAAATCACAGTCAACATCATACTGAAACGACAAAAGCTGGAAGCATTCCCCTTGAAAATTCGTGAAGGAGAAAGATGCGCTCTCTTACCCTTCCTATTTAACATAGCTTCAAAAGTCCTGCCCAGGGCAATCAGGCAAGAAAAAAAAATACAGGGCATTCAAATGGAAAAAGAGAAAGCAAAACTATACCTAGAAAGGTGACATGATCTATATCTAGAAAACCCCATAGTCTCAGCCCAAAAGTTTCTTAAGCTGAAAAGCAACTTCAGCAAAGTCTCAGGATACAAAATCAATGAAAAAATCACAAGCATTTCTATACACCAACAATAGACAAAAAGAGAGTCAAATCATGAATAAACTCTCATTCACAGTTACTACAAAGAGAATAAAATACCTAGGAAAACAGCAAGAACCTCTTCAAGGAGAACTACAAACCATTGGTCTAGGAAATCAGAGAAGACACAAACAAATAGAAAAACATTTCATACTCATGGAGAGGAAGAATCAACATCATAAAAATGGCCACATTGCTCAAAGTAATTTATAAATTCACTGCTATTTCTGTTAAACTGCCATTGAAATTCTCCACAGAATTAGAATAAACTACTTTAAAATTCATATGGATCCAAAAACAAGCCCTAATAGCCAAGGCAATCCTAAGCAAAAAGAACAATGCTGGAGGCATCACACTACCAGACATGAAACCATACACCAGGCTACAGTAATCAAAACCACATGATTCTTGTACAAAACAGACACATAGACCAATCAAACAGAATAAATAACCCAGAAGTAAAGCCACACATCTCCAAACATCTGATCTTTGACAATTCTAATAAAAACAAGCAATGGGAAAAATATTCCCTATTTAATAAATGATGCTGGAAAAACTGGCTAGCCATATGCAGAAAATTGAAACTGGATCCCTTTTTAACACTTAATACAAAAATTAACTCAAGATGGATTAAAGACAAATGTAAAACCCCAAACTATAAAAACCCCAGAAGAAAATACAGGTGATATCATTTAGGACACAGGCATGGGCAGAGATTTTATGACGCAATTGCCAAAAGCAATTGCAACAAAAGCAAAAATTGACAAATGGGATCTAATTAAGCTAAAGAGCTTCTGCACAGCAAAAGAAACTATCATCAGAATGAACAGACAACCTACAGAATGAGAGAGAATTTTTTTAATCTATCCTTCTGACACAGGTCTAATATGCAGAATCTACAAAGGAATTTCAATAAATTTAGAGGAAAAAACAATTTCATTAAAAAGTTGGCAAAGGGCATTAACAGATACTTCTCAAAAGAAGACATTCATGTAGCCAACAAACATATTTAAAAAAACAAGCTCAACATCACTGACCAGAGAAATGCAAATCAAAATCACAACGGGATACCATCCCATGCCAGTCAGAATGACAGTTATTAAAAAGTAAAGAAACAACAGAGCCTGGCAGGACTGTGGAGAAACAGGAACACTTTACACTGTTGGTGAGAGTATAAATTAGTTCAACCATTGTGGAAGACAGTGTGGCGATTCCCGAAAGACTTAGAACCAGTCATATCATTTGACCCAGCAATCTCATTACTGGGTGTATACCCAAAGGAATATAAATCATTCTATTATAAAGATACATGCACCAGTATGCTCACTGCAGCACTATTCACAATAGCAAAGACATGGTATCAATCCAAATGTGCATCAACAATAGACTAGATGAAGAAAATATGGTACACATATGCCATGGAAGACTACGCAACCATATAAAGGAATGAGATCATGTCCTTTGCCGGGACATGGATGGAGCTGGAAGCCATTATCCTCAGCAAACTAATGCAGGAACAGAAAACCAAACAGCTGAAAATGAGAACACCATGGACACAGGGAGGGGAAAAACACACACACCAGGACCTTTCAGGGTTGGGGGTGGAGGAGGAAGAGCATCAGGATAAATAGCTAATGCATTCAGTGCTTAATACCTAGGTGAGGGGTTGATAGGTGCAGCAAACCACCATAGCATGTGTTTACCTATGTAACAAACCTGCATGTCCTGCACCTGTATCCCCAAAATTTAAAATAAAATACAACGTTTATATTTGGGGGGGCGGGGAAGAACCCTTTCTACGTGGCTATCTTTCCTGCCTGTGTTCTTAAAGGTCATTTGTAATAAAGATTCTGATTCCATTTTAAATAAATAAATAATTTAATTTTAAAAACACCTCTAAGTGAAATAATTGGCTTTAAGAAATACAAGAAGGCCAGGCGCAGTGGCTCATGCCTGTAATCTCAGCACTTTGGGAGGCCGAGGCGAGCAGATCTCGGGGTCAAGAGCTGGAGACCATCTTGGCTAATGCGGTGAAACCCTAACTCTACTGGAAATACAAAAAAAATTAGCTGGGAATAGTGGAACGCACCTGTAGTCCCAGCTACTCAGGAGGCTGAAGCAGGAGAATCGTTTGAACTCAGGAAGCAGAGGTTGCAGTGAGCCGAGGTTGCAGTGAGCCGAGATCGCACCACTACACTCCAGCCTGGGTGACAGAGTGAGACTCCATCTCAAAAAAAAAAAAAAAAGAAAAGAAATACAAGTACTGTTTTTCTTTATGGAAGGAAAAAAATAAGGGATTTGATTTTTTTCTTAGCCAAGAGTATTCGTTTTCCACTGCTGTATAACAAATCATTACAAAAAGTTTCAGAATTATGCAAATGTGTTATCTCACAGATTTGATGAATCTGGACACTGGTTGATTGCATCATTGTCTCAGGGTCTAAGGGAGTGAAACCAAAGTGTTGCCTGGGACTATGTTCCTATCTGAGACTCAGGGTCATCTTTCAAGCTCACTGGTTATTGGCCAAATTCTTTTCCTTGCATCTATAAAACTACATTTATAAAGATATTTAAACGATATTTATAAAGATATTTAAAATGATATTTATAAAGCAGCATCTATAAAGATTGCTGCTTTATTGCTGGCTCTCAGCCATGTGTTGTTCTAGCTTCTAGAAGCCACCTACTGTTCCTTCTGAAATGCCCTCTTCACACAATGGCAGTCTGTTTCTTTAAGGCCAAAAAGAGCACATCCCTGCTGCTTCAAATCTCTCCATCATCAGGAAGACCTCAGGCTCTTCTGATGGCTTGACTGGTAAGGTCAAGCCTACCCAGGATAATTTCCATGTCACCTTATTTGCAGCTTAAATTCTACCAGCCACATAGCAATATTCCCTAACCTTTGTCATCTAA